AAAAATAAACGCTGGACATGAACAGAGGTAGGATGTATCTAGTAGGAGGGTTTTAAATGAAAAGTAGAGAGCAACCCAACGGGTAATTAAAGTGCTTCTCAGGATATTTTGCAGGGGATTGTTTCCTTTATGCAGGGAAGGCACACTGGAACAGCCACGTTTTCAGGCTCCTCCTAAACACTGGCAATGTGGGGGCTTGTCTGATATTCTTGGGGAGTGAGTTCCAGAGTCGGGGGGGCCAGCATAGAGAAGGCCTTCTCCTTCGTCCCCACCAATCACACCTGCGAAGGAGGTGGAAGTGAGAGCAGGGCCTCTCCAGATGCTGGGGAATGGGGTAAGGTAGTTTTTCTCTGCTTTCTCTCCACCCGTCTCATGAAGTCCATGGACTATCCTTTTCCAATTTGTATAGATATGCATTTTGAAATTATTGAAAAAATTAGGAACTACTACTGCATGATTATCATGAAGCAAATGAGTTAATTTCATATTTTTCTTAATACTGTTGCTTCATGTTGTCAGGAAACAAAACCAAACAACCCCCATCACTTAAACTACCACAGAGTCTTTTTGGGCCAGAAATGTAATGACTGATTCATTTGTTTCTAGCAAGAGAACACAGACGTCATTCTGACTTCAGTTGGGCCACAACCCTTCTGTTTCCTAAACCAATCTCCACCCAAAATTACAGCCATTATTGCACAATATTTAACTAAGACGGGTGTATTCAGCAAAAACAGCTGGATGTCAAACAGGAAGCAAAAGTACTGAATATAAAAATGTAGGGCCAGAGACATGTAGCAAGTTATTTGGGAATCAAAAGCTTGGGGCCCGGAGAAGGATAAATCCCCACCAATTATTATTTAATCCTTAATAAGAAACTTCTTATCCTGTCAAAATATTTGGTCTTCTTAGCTGATATTACTGTTTGCTCTCTGGATTTTTTAAAAAAATTGTCTGGCTGTAAAAGAGGGAGTTTGGATGCTACATGCAGTCCATTGACTGGACTTGTCCCCGATCTTACACAGTATCAGTCTGCAATTGGGATCCAATGGATCTAGTTAGAAATAAAATCAACCACCCATTTCCACTTTAACATTAAATTATTGTGTTGCTAGAGTGGATGGAGTATACTGAATTCCAAATGTTGATCTCAATTCTTCATTGAGCTATCAGGAAGCCCTAGAAGAGAAACAAAAATACTAGTACATGGTGAATAAGGGACAAAGCCAGCATTTTCCAACTGCCGAGTTGGATTCTGACTTGCTTCAAAATAACATTACAGGTAAGATGTTGCGAGTTTGCATTCTAAAGATGTTATTTGTAGTCTCAAGATAGGGCTAATTAGGGACCTCATCATGTGCTGATTTCCCTGTTTCTATATACTTTAAAATCACTTTAACAACAGAGTCCCACCGTACCCATCAAATGACATAATAGTACTTGTGCCTGTTTCCTATGGGATTCCATCCTTAAAATGTATTTAATATGGAGAAACAGCGGTTTTTGGAGTTGGGGAGCAATAGACTCCAGAGCGCCTCATTTGCATACAATGGCTAAAACCACTTATTTTAAGGTGGGATGGGAACTGCTGGAATTGTCTTTTTTATATTGTTTTAGTTATGTGAAAGTATGGGTGTGCTTGTGGGACATCTTGAAATGTACCTTGATGCTCCTTTTGTTACTACTGATCAGGGGTCCTCAAACTTTTTAAAAGAGGGCCAGGTCACAATCCCTCAAACCATTGGAGGACCGGATTATAATTTGAAAAAAATATATGAATGAATTTCTATGCACACTGCACATATCTTATCTGTAGTGCAAAAAAAAAATAAAACAACACTTAAAAATACAACAATTAAAATGAAGAACAATTTTAACAAATATAAATTTATTAGTATTTCAATGGGAAGTGTGCGCCTGCTTTTGGCTGATGAGATAGGATTGTTGTTGTTGTTGTTGTTGTTGTGTGCTTTCAAGTCGTTTCAGATTTAGGTTGACCCTGAGTGAGGGCCGGGTAAATGACCTTGAAGGGCCGTATCCGGCCCCCGGGCCTTAGTTTGAGGACCCCTACTATAGATCATCTCGCACGCAACTTTAACAACAATTTTTTAAAAAATTTCTTAAGGAAATACACAATTTTGATATATTGCTACTTCACTGTACCTATGTTTTTCCTTTTGGCAGATTAGGGATTTTACAATTTGGACATAGGATGTTCTGTTTCTTTCCCCCCTTAAAAAAATACCATGGGTGTTTAAAGTCCGAGAAGCAGTAACCAGGATTTCATAGGACTTTAATTTTGATTTCAGACATCTGCAATTGGGAGGTTTATTTTTTTAGTTAAAAAAGAGAAAGTGATATGGCCAGAGACTACACTGCACCGTGTGAAACTGGGGATCACAACCAGACACAGTGAAGACATCTGCCCTTGTGTTTCGCTACTCTGCTGCTGAACATGCATGCCCAGTGTGGAACACATCTCACCACGCTAAAACAGTGGATGTGGCTCTTAATGAGACATGCCGCTTTATCACAGGATGTCTACGCCCCACACTACTGGAGAAATTATACTATTTAGCCGGTATTGACCACCAATTATCTGCCAAGTAGTAGTAGCCAATAATGAAAGGACTAAGGCAGTGACATCTCCAGCCCATCCCCTGTTCAGATATCGACCAGCACGCCAACACCTTAAATCAAGAAATAACTTTCTAAGATCTACAGAGATACTCGCAGGAACACCTCAGCAAACGAGAGTCCAAAAGTGGCAGGTGAAAAACCAGAACATCAATCCATGGCTGATACCAAATGAGAGACTTCCCCCTGGGCACACAAAAAACTGGGGGACCTGGAAGGTGCTGAATAGACTGCACTCTGGGACCACGAGATGCAGAGTCAACCTTAAGAAATGGAGCTACAAAGTGGAGTCCATAACATGCGAGTGTGGAGAAGAGCAAACCATAGACCACCTATTAAGATGCAGCCCAAGCCCTGCCACATGCACAATGGAGGACCTTCTTATAGCAACACCAGAGGCACTCCAAGTGGCTAACTACTGGTTAAAGGACATTTAGTATAATACCAAGTTTTTAAACTTTGCTTGTGTTTTTAAATACAGTACAATGTACCCTCAATTTGCTTCTGACACGATAAAAATAAAACCACATAATAGCTCAATAAACGGAGGATTTGTCTAGAAACAGAGTCCATCACGTGTGATGGGGTGAATAAATTATCCAATTTTCTTAAAAACAGAAAGGCATGAAACGCTATGTGAAAAATACTAGTCTAGATGGACAAATGATCTTGACTTGCTGAGATATATTATTTTTCTTATACTGTTTTGAGAAGCTAGAGGGGGCAAAGGGACTCTAGTTAACTTGCATACTTGGAAGTATAAAATTATAAATGGGTTAGTTCAATAAAAATATAATTTTTAAAACAGAAAAATGGGAGAATGGACCCTTATCAGAGCATCTAAAGAAGTAACTAGATCTTCATGAAAGCTCATGATAAAATATTGGTTAATCTTAAAGGTGTTGCTAGATTCATCATCTGTGCCTGTTTCCTTTTAATCACAACCAACCTGATAGCATCATAACTCATGGAAAAACAACAGAAACACAAGGAAGGGTACTATATGATTCTTTATTGATTTATCTTTAATCATCTGAAAAATAAACCCCTTTTCAAAAGTGGCAGAAAGATGTAAAGCAGGCACACAATGAGGATTCATAATCACAAGGCTTTATTAGTAAACTCAGGTGTGTGTGTCCCCAAACGGAATATCAATGCAACATCCAAGAAAAATCTTTGATGTTCTTCATTACCGCTGTGAAGAGGCCACCAATTTGTAAAGAAGGCACCAGTTTGTAAACGTTTGTAAAGGAGCCACCACTTTGTAGGGAGTTACTAAATTGATAACACAACTAATAGCTTGTAATATTGAATTGGTCTTTCTTCAATGTGTAGCGTAGCTAAACTTGAAAGTATTTGTAACAGAGACTTGGCTTTAGAAGAAACTGTAACAAGTTTATTGAAGTATAGAAGAGGCTTGATGGTTTCAATGTTTCTTAGCTTTTAGAGGCACATATCTTCAGAGGTTACATTTATAATATTTCATAAAACAACTCTTAGGAGGACTGTTCCTTCCACTAAACAGGTTTTAAACTTATTTTCCTTCAAAATGTGTTTCTTTTCTTGACAGATTACTTCAGGTACAAGCTTTTTCTTTCCTTATGTTATTTCGGTTGCAGTAAAGATTCTTATAAGGATTCTCTCACCCTTTCTACTCATACACTAACTACTAACCTAAATAAGTCAACTTGACCTATCTAAACTACACAGGCTAAAAGCCAAAACCTTCCTGATTCTCAACACATTAGAATCAGCCTTTCCCTGTAGTTCTTAGACTACAGACTACCTTACTGGTTCTCAACACACAACAGAACCAGCCTTCCCTGTAGTTCGCTGACTACAGACTAACTGTTTTAAAATGGCTGCCCTGCCAAGTGGCAGTTAGCTCCGCCCCTTTTTCCATGGCAACTCAGCTCAAAGTGAGCTAAGCTGGCTACCATCCCCCCAGTTATGCTAGTTTAAATACCCATTTAAACACCTATCTATAATTATACATAACTATAGATTAAAACTCACACTTCAACTGCAAATTGCCAACACTTTTTAGTTTGGAGGGGGTATGATAGTCATATTTAAATATCTGAAAAGATGTCCTATAAAGGGGGGCCATCTGCATCTGGCCCACAGGCCTTAATTTGGGTACCTTTGCTCTAATTGGTTCCAACACACTTGCACCCCGATGGATCCTTGATATTTCTTAACACATGTTTCTGAGTCACATGCTGATTCTCCAACTCTCTTTTCTTTGTTGGAAAAGAAGAATGCAGGAGGGACGTACATAGGCAAAAGGTTTGTGTGTAATTTAACTTAAAAAGACGAGATCTGATTGCTTTACTTAGTAGCCATTATCCTGGGATACTCACATTCTTGAAGACATTCCGTGTCTGTGCAATACGACTGCGATTGTCGTAACTGAAATGAAGAAAAATGATAAAATTTGGTTAGGAAGACAAGACTTGACGATCTCTCTAGTTTGTTGGACAGTGGGTTGTTTAGGTTTTTCAGGCTGTATGTCCATGTTCCAGAAGCATTCTCTCCTGATGTTTCACCTGCATCTATGGCAGGCATCCTCAGAGTTTGTGAGGTCTGTTGGAAACTAGGAAAATGGGGTTTATATATCTGTGGAATGTCCAGGTTGGGATAGTCTTGTGAATGTCTAAAATTAGAATATCTCCAGGGACTCAACCATTAAGAAATCAATTTATTACATTAATGGTATGATTCTAATATGTCTAAACTATACTTCTGAATCAACTCTTTGGGCCCCTAAATTTGCTTGTTTGTTTCAGTTAGAATTGAGACATTAATCAATGGGAATTTAATATATCAACAGTTCCATCAATGAGTCTCATTTAGTGAGGATTATTAACTGAATTGAAGTCTTGAATTTTGCACAGGTAGAAGTAAATGTCAACATGCCACTTACAATCACCATATGACACAATTTGTCAGCAATACCCTGCTGCATACACAGGAAAAACATGCCAGTTTCTGAGCAAATTAACACTGGCCAACACACATTTGTCCTGACCCCCAGGTTGAGAAATGCTGCCTTAAAGCCATCCAGTCCAACCCCTAAAGGACTTGAAAGGGACCCCTAAAGGACAATTATATGTTGCATGTTCCAGAGTAGGCAAATCAGACAATCTCTATGTCAACACTGACAAAGAAACAATAAGAAATACTGTTTACCCACAAGCATAAAGACATTACATATATTAGAAACTAACACTTTCTCATTACTTTATTTTCCAGGTCACCAGACTGGGCCACAGCAACACATGGCAGGGCACAGCTAGTAGTTTATAGAGCCTGAAGGAACTAATTTCCATCTCTACCACTATCCTTGAATTTTCAAAAACCAGCACCTATAGTTATTGCATTAGGAATAACAAACAAATGTATAGATCTAGCAAATAGTGTGGTCTATGTTCAAGACATACTGGGAACAAACCATTGAGCGATTCTAGCTAAAATCGTAATACCCTGAAACTGGATTTCACAATGCCGTTCTAAAGTGGTGTAAACATGGACCTTGCAATTTCTATTTCTTACCAAAAGAGGGCAATGCCAACATGAGCAAGTTAAGAATCAATAGCGAAATATCTTTTTTTAAAAAAAAGCTCTCTAGAGATTTCTTTTCCCCATTACATACATACTTCAGGTATGGAGTAGGCCCTTTTCTTTTATCATGTCAGAAATAACTTGGGAAACTGCAAATGGAAAATGGATAATTCAATGTCCAGTCTCCATGGCAGACTGGATTCTCATTTAGATGACAGCTCATTATTGGATTGTGGAGGTCGGTGCACAGCCGGTCAACACACAGTTTTCACAGAGTGAGGTCCCATCTAATGGCATGGTTAACACGATGACGGTGGCTTCTCAATCTGTTGCAGCCTTCTTCCGCCTTTGCAGCCATTGTAACATGTGCCATGTTATCCTCTGCCTGCTCCGCCATTGAGGTCTTTAGGTCTTCGGATTGTGCTTGGTCTGGAACCTCCGCTTAGGCCACTCCTGCATGACTCCAGTCGTTGTGGCCGCAGGTTCATTGCAACACATAAGCCCCCTCACCACGATAAGGTGACAATCCACCGCCTGAGCTCTGTGAGTGCAACCTTTTTCTGAATGACGCACCAAGTGTTGGAGGCCCGGGACATCCGTAGGGATATCAAGGTGCTTGTTTATAAAGCTATTGTCCTCCCAACCCTGCTATATGCCTATGAAATGTGGACTGTCTACAGACATCAGATGCCAACTCTTGGAACAATTCCATCAGCGTTGCCTCCGAAAAATCATGCAAATCTCTTGGGAAGACAGGCATACAAATGTCAGCATGCTGGAAGAAGCAAAGACCACCAGCACTGAAGCGATGGTCCTCCGGCATCACCTCTGCTGGACCAGCCACGTTGTCCAAATGCCCAATCACTGTCTCTCAAAGCAGTTGCTCTACTCCAAACTCAAGAACGGAAAACGGAATGTTGGAGGGCAAGATTTAAAGATGGGTTCAAAGCTGTCGCATAGACACTGAGAATTGGGAAGCCCTGGCCCTTGAGTGCTCTATCTGAAGGTCAGCTGTGACCAGCAGTGCTGTAGAATTTGAAGAGGCATGAATGGAGGGCGAAAGAGAGAAATGTGCCAAGAGGAAGGCATGTCAAGTCAACCCTGACCAGGACTGTCTCCCACCTGGAAACCAATGCCCTCACTGTGGGAGAACATGCAGGTCAAGAATCGGGCTCCACAGTCACCTACATACCCACCACCAGGATACCGAACTTGGAGGACAATCTTACTCGGACAATGAAGGATCACCTAAGTTAGTATATTATTGGATTCCATGTGTCAGTTACCTGAACTCATTCTTGACTTAAAGAAAAACATACTGAAGGAAAACATGTTAAGTACAAGGAAACCTGGCTGCTCATGGACAACAATAGTCTAGCATTGATGTGCCTGGCATAATGTTAGGCAAGCAGGAGATGTTACCTGCTCTCACATAAATCCACAACATAAAATTATACAGTTGAAGGAGATCACAAGGGCCATCTAGTCCAATAGATGACCAGAACTATAAGAATGTTGCCTCTAATACCTTGTTGACTAGATTACCTATTCAACAATCTGGATAACGGACCCTTCCCGGATTGTACTATTTTTAATAATAGGAAGAAAACATAGTAAACACCAAGTCTGTAATGCTACCGTAGACACACTTCCGGTTCCTCTTCTCCCCCTTATTTGTATAGTTCAGTGTTGTATAATTACTTTAGAAGTAAAACAACAACAAAAACAGCGAGTCTTACAAAAGGCATATAATCTAAAATATGCACATGGTCTCACACAGAAGGGCAGAGTAAGGCAAATATAACACTACCCAATACAATAATAAAACAAGTTACCCAGATATCCACAAAAATAAAATATAAATACGATACAATAATAAAACAAGTTACCCAGATATCCACAAAAATAAAATATAAATAAAGCAGAGTGAATAATAGTTCTCCACACTGGTCAACTGTGAATCGCACATATGGGTAATTTCTGCACCTGAGCAGATGTGCGAATTCACAGATGACCACTCAGAGAAATATGGTTACAAGTAAGCAACCCATAGATATCCAATCACCATATATAAGATGATAAATTTGTATTTGAATTTCAGCATCAGATCTACAGCCTATTGCAATGCATGCTTTAGAAAGAAGTCATTTTGTTTGTTTAATTGGACTTAATTCCAGGAAATTCCAGTTGAAAACATTGGAAATGCTTTGGAAATCAAGACTTAAATGAAGACTTAAACAGTGATTGGCGGTTCGAATCCAGGGAGCTGGGTGAGCTCCTGTCTGTTAGCTCCAGCTTCCCATGTGGGGACATGAGAGAAACCTCCCACAGGATGGTAAAACCTGTGGGCGTCCCCTGGGCAACGTCCTTGCAGACGGCCAATTCTCTCACACCAGAAGTGACTTGCAGTTTATCAAGTTACTCCTAACACACAAAAAATCTACCTAAATGCTTTATAGCCTAGGATACTCTACTTCTTACTCTTGTGATTTATAATAAAAGTATGAAGACTTAAACAGTGAATGCATTTCTAGCAGGCAGCAATTTCTGGATGCTTAGTTCTTCAATAACATTTGCTAACGTATGTGCTTAAGAAAATGTATTGCATATGTGTATGTGGTATAACTGCAATACTATATGTACAAAACGAAATATGGCAGCTTTAAGTGATAAGTGGCTGTTCTTTGGTCCCACCGGTCTCTATATGCTACATAATCTTTCTTGATATTGATGCCAGGCTGACTGGATGGTAATTGTTTGGGTCCCATTTTTTTCTGTTCTTGAAGATAAGGTCATTTGCCCTCCTTCAGTCTGCTGGAACTTCTCCTGTTCTCCAATAATTCTCAAAGATTTTTGCCAGTGGTTCTGAAATTACTTCTGCTCATTCTTTCAATGCTCTTGGATTTAGTTCATCTGGCCCTGGAGACGCGAATTTGTTTCGAATAGCCAGGTATTCCTGGACTTAGATAAGGGTTAGAAGACATGATCATCAAGTTTGCAGACAACACTAAATTGGAAGGGATATCAAATACCCCAGTAGACAGGAGCAGGATTCAAAATGTTTAGAGAGATGGGCCAAAATGAACAAAATGAAATTAAAAAAATTAAATGCAAGATTCTCCACTTAGGCAGAAAAATAAATAAATGCAAAGATACCGAATGGACAATGCCTGGCTCGAGAACAATACGTGTGAAAAATATCTTGGAGTCCTCATGGACAACAAGTTAAACATGAGCCAACAATGTGATGTGGCAATAATACTAATATAGTATGGTAGGATAATACTAATACAATAGCCCTAAACGGTTCCGGCCCAAGCTACCTATCTGACCGCATCTCTGCCTATGAACCCACCAGGAGTTTGAGATCTTCCGGGGAGACCCTGCTCTCGATCCCGACTGCTTCTCAAGCTCGGCTGGCGGGGACGAGAGATAGGGCCTTCTCGGTGGTGGCTCCTCGGCTGTGGAACGCCCTTCCTACGGACATTAGACTAGCACCATCTCTAATGGTATTCCGCAAAAAGGTGAAGACCTGGATGTTTGTGCAAGCGTTTGAGTAATTTATTTATTTATTTTATTTATTTATTTCTTGCATTTATTGACCGCCCCTCTCAGCCCGAGGGCGACTCGGGGCGGTGAACAATAACAGAAAGGACAGTGTACAGTGAGCCAAAAACGATACAGACCAGACAATACAACATAACATATACTTATACTAAAAATCCGCTTCGTCAAGTCCTGGGGTCATAGCCAAAAATCGTAGTCCTAGTTCAATCCAATTGTCATTCACTACACTCAGTTGAAGGCCTGCCCGAAGAGCCATGTTTTCAGGCCCCTACGAAAGGCCA